AAGTTGTCTTCTTACAACTGAAGAGACTCTTCTTTCTACTGAGGTGACTGAAACACAAATCATTGTCGAGAGATGTAGAAGGCAACTTCGATTATAACCTATTCACCTTTGATAATAGCCATTGCAATTGTGAACGAAACGTCGGGAATTAACTCCAACGGATCATATGGCTTTTAGACCCAGAAAACTTCGATACATTTACTTTGACCAGCATTGAAAATCTGCACAATCTGATTAAGCAAACTAGTTTCCTGTTTCGATTTGTGTTCTAATATTTTACATTCATCATCATAAGGTCGTCAGTCCTAAACTTGGTTGGACACGTACCTCCACTCTTTCTTATCCTGAGCTAAACTTCGTATTTCCTTAAAACTAGAATATCCCACATCCTTAACTATTTGCGAACAGTAATCTAATCTAGGTCTACCTCTACTCCTCCTAACTTCCGCTTCTGTCTCTAATATGTCTCTGACTCGACCATTATGCCTGAAAATGTGTCCTCCCAACCTTTCTCGCCTATTTCTTATTGACTTCCATAGAGTCCTCTGTTCTCTTACTCTTTCTAATACCTCTTCATTTCTAACCTTCTCTATCCACGGTATCCTCATCATTCGCCTGTAACGCCACATTTCGAACGCTTCTAACCTTTTCTTTTCCGCCGCGTCCACTGTCCATGTTTCGCACCCGTACAATGCCGTGCCCCAAACATACACCTTTAACAACCTTTTTTTCCGAATTTCTAAATTAATCGTTCCCGAGCATAGAAGTAACTTACTTTTATAGAAGGCGACTCGACCCTGCGCTATCCTCTGCTTTATATCCCTACTACTCCTTCCGTCCTGACTTATCTGACTTCCTAGATACCTAAAATCAGCCAATTCTTCTAATTTTTCGTCTCCTATCTTTATATTCGTTCCTTCCCTACTTTTCCTTCCCTTACATACCAGCATTTTTTTACACAATACCAAATTAAAATCAAAGCTAATATTAACGTTCTACATTTTTTTTTGCACCTTTTTATTTATATGTATATATATATGGCCATGTTATGTATAATTCTACAAAGGTGGTCTATCATTATTTCCGCACTACCCCATAGAGTGCCACAAAAATACCCACCAGGATTGGATTGATCCGTTTTATGAAACCATCAACGTTGACGAACCATTTGGTGCATGATGTGGCAAGCTATTAAATCTTACTAATTCAATTCATTACACTAGATAACTTTTTGTGGCTCATGAATCATAGGAATTAATGGAAAAGAAAGCGTAAAAATATTAATCACATCTAATGATGGCATGGGAGTTCCCACAAAGATACTTACGACATGTTTCGATACTTACATACATTTGCACATGTATCTACATATATGTATGTAGCTTTCTATCAAAATTCGAATGATTCAGAAGAAATAAACCATTTTACAGATCCAATGACCCCGTTAAGAAATTTCGGTAATCTAGCAGATGTTTATGTAAATCTGTGATTCATTTCGAATTCACCTCCAGGTATCAATAATAATCTACCATACTTTGACAAAAACAGGAAATAAAACTTGTAAAGACCATAAATTCCATTTTTATGTCTCCACTTTGTTTATTTGTTAAATAATAACGACATTCTTTACAGCTATTATTAAAAGATAGCCTGAAGAACTACTGAATATTTTTTTTTCTAATATTTTGGTCTGTAAATATTATTAACCACAAAAATGGTTTAGAAACAATATTATTGATAGATTTTTTAATTTAAAAAAGAAAGACAATCGTGTTCTTTTCGAACTCTTTCTTCGGAAACTGTTAAACCACAGCAGGGTATATCCTAGGGTCTAGGGGTCATGACCTGCGACAGCAGACTGCGGAGAGCGGTGCATGCCGCCCCTTATTAGGCATTACCAACTTTGTAAAAGTATAGTTTACTACACAATCTTTGAATTTGGCATCAAATATTACCGTATTCGTTCGTGTTGCCTTTTCCTACCGTAACGTTATAGATAATCTACATATTTTTTTTTTCAAGAATTATATTTTAATTTTTACGCCCTCCGGTGCAGAATGTAAAAACTATAAGTAAATAGGTATATAAATAGGTAACTAACAATTTACACATAAGATAAAAAATAGCATCGGCTGCATTAGTAAATATTAACGAAAAGTAGCATTAAACTTTCATACAGTTTTCTATGTAAATAGGTACTGTTACGAAGGTGTTTATTTGTTAAACTTCTACCTTTAGAATTAGAGAAGTTGACACTTTTCCTTTTTAACATGTTTGAAAACTGTGAGGAAAAGTGATACTAATTTTATGTGTAACCTTTTTACAGTAAGGCGGTAAAAAACACATTTGTATAAAGTCACAAAGGCAAACTCGCCGGTTCACCTTTTTTAAAAAAGTGAAATAAACCAATAAACCTTTTTTATATTATTTTCGAAATATAATAACATTAATGATTTACCGATTGCGCAAACATAAAATGTCTGATCCATATCTTACTCCATAGATTTTTGATTACATTATTAGGAATCACAAGGTCTTGCACGGCTTTCCCATTAACTAAAATATTAACCCCTACTAAAAGTAAAAAGTATTAGCATATAGCAACGAGGAGCTAGAGATAGCTTTAAATAAAATGGAAACGGTATTGATAAAACAGTACTGTATGAAAATAAATAAAATTAAAACAAAAATACCGATATGCAAGGGTAGAAAAAGTAGGAAAAAGAGCGAATGTAAAGAGAGGAGACGAAATATTAGAAGAAGTGCCTGATTTTACGTATCTAGGAAGTCAGATAAGTCAAAATGGAAGAAATAATAGGGATATAAAGCAGAGGATAGCGCAGGATCGTGTCGCCTTCAGTAAAAAAAGTCACTTCTATGCTTGCGAACGATTAATTTAAAATTTTGAAAAAGATTGTGAAAGCTGTATGTTTCGAGCGCGGCGCTGTACGGGTGCGAAACATGGACGGTGGGCGCGGCGGAAAAGAAAAGGTTAGAAGCGTTCGAGATGTGGTGTTATCGGCGAATGATGAGGATACCGTGAATAGAGAAGGTTAGAAATGATGAGGTATTAGAAAGAATAGGAGAACAGAGGACTCTCTCTATGAAAGTCAATAAAAAACTGGCGAGATAGGTTAGGTTAGGTTAGATACGATCTTGCGAAAATGCAAGACTAATAGTAAAAATTGCAAAACCAAGACCAACATTGCTCATCACATCACTACTCCTAGCATGGGCACGTGTCCCTTGTGACCATCCGTCCGTATTAATAAGTGCAACATTTCAAATACTTAATAAACTATTTATGAGATCATATTCATGAGAAAACATAACTTGAACCTTTCTCCTGTCATGCTAAATTAAATTCTTTAACGAGTCATCAAAACCCTTTATAATAAAAGGTAATCAACATTAATTCAACTGCAGACAGAGAGTTCACGACCTTTCCAATGCCTTTTCTGTTTGCATCTCTAATACAATAAACAAACACGGCATGCGTGTGTGACACTTAAAATAATGAGTGAGTAAGCCCGAAAAGAACTAATTACTAAATCAATCCCTGCAAACTACTAATGATAATAATCGGTTTAGCTAAACGATAGGTATTGTAATTGGGTCTGCCCTCAACTGCAGTAATAAACGAAGTAGACTAATCAAAATGTTGTAAATAAATTGTATTAGTTTGCGAGTGAGTATCCATTTTATCACTTAAATTTATGACTATTTTACAACTTAAACGTGAATTTGTGTTACAGAATATTTAATGTGAAAATCGGTAACAAAATTGGTTATCTATTAACTTACGAAAGTAAGGCTGAGTTGTTTCAATTAAATGAAGTACGTTGTCAAATTTTTCAGGAATTATGATTTTTGCTTAAAAATTGATTAATGTTTGTTAAATTATTTGTTTTGTCTAAAATTTAGCATAATTATACATAAATCTTATCACAAACAATACAAACAATTGTATGTAGATCGGTATGCAATAATTAAGGAAACTAATAGACTAAAAATGTCAAATAAAAATTTGTCATCATCATATGTCACTCTTATAAGAAACAATTGCTGCATTGTTGGTTTAATTGTTGAGTACAAAGATTTGCCAACCGTTTCTCCTAACGTGGTAATAAAGTCAAAAAAAATCTATTCTGCTAAGTGTAATAGCATCACGCGTTACTCTAAGCGTCACTCTTATTATAAGCAATTGTTACATTGTTGGTTAATTGTTGACTACAAAAATCACTCATATAACAAACAATTGCTGTGTTATTGATTGTAAAAGGCTTGCCAACCACAAAATTTGTAGTGATTTAGACATCCAAATAAATTCTAATGCTGAAATGATAATTTACGTGGCTGGATATGTTGTATCATTTACTTACTCCTGTCTAATTATCTTAATAGGGTGAAATTGTTTATTTTTCTCATAATGTTGGAAAGCGCACCGCAAAATGCAACATTCAACTCTAATTTATGTAGATTATATTCCTGATTAATTAAAAGTAAGACGCACGCTTAATTTAGGCTCATAAAACATACTGCATACACTTTTCGTTCTGTATAATTAAAACTTTCTTGATAAGCAAGAAAAGTGATTCTGTAATAAAAATGTAAAAGTATAATCAGTCATAAAGCAATTAAAATTTAAATTGCCAATAAAATTTGTTTTTCTTAAAAAAAAATAAGAACAAAAACTCATTACTATTTACTAAATTTTCCCAAAAAAAGTAAGTTTTGCATTTACTAAAAATAAAGCCAAAAGTTTAATACTTCTTTTAATATCTACAAACTATTTTACTTATTAGGTAGATGCCTACTAAAATTAATACAAAATTATTTAGTTTGTAAACAATTTTTAACCTCTATGAGAAATAAATAAAGAGTTTAATGAGCATGTAAACGAAATGATAATGTCAAAATCAAAATTTAATAAGCAAATAATAAATAGATAAACGTGTTGTTACTCAAGGACTTCTAACGTCATCGTAAGCCATTCTTACCTTTATTTGCGACCACTTCGGCAAGGACCTGCGCTGTGTCCACTTTGACCTGTGACCATTGCCCCGCAACTGCCAGAGTACGTGCACCAAGTGCAACGGGGAGTTCGCGCACCACGTGGAACACAACTTATAAATTGTTTATTATCGAACAACGGTCTAAGTTAAAATACGTTAATAATAATCCGATTTCACACTGAACCTCTTTACTATGTCGCGAATAGAAACAAAGCAGAAAAAAAAGAACAAAAAAAACAGAAGGAAAGAAAATTGCAAAGTTCTATGAAGACGTCGTCGCCTGAATGTCTGCCGTTCTCACACACGCACCTGCTGCTTCTCCGTCGTCCGTTCGGCGTTGGAAGAAGAAGAATACCGACGAAGAAGTTACTACCAACTGGCCGCCGCGAGAGACGCGGATGGCACACATCTTTAGTCAAGTGGGTCAACGGTAACTCTCTCCCGATCACCCCCTGCTTCTTATGAAGTCGATGATGGTGATGATGGTCAGTCTGGGCGGCCGGCAGTGGCCGAGGAAGTCCAGGAGGAGAGGTGGTGACCGGGTCGGCAAAGGACACCACTCCGCAACAGCAACCACTGCATGACCGCGAAGGACACTCCAAAAGAAAAAGTTCACTATATCTGTAACAGACAGCTAGAACTCTCAATATTCTAATAAAAAAAGGAACTTACATCACAAAATCAAAATTTTTAGTAATTTCTAAATGAGATATGATAGAAAACTGGTTGAATAGATGATCTGTTAAATGCATTGAGAGGCTTGAAATTAAAAATTTTAAGAAGAAAAAGTTAAGAAGGAAGAAATAAAAAATAAGAATTCCAGTGGGAACGAAAACTAATCGAAGACGTTACAGAGTTAATCTATCTAGACCTTGTACTTAATAGAAATAATGGAGCAGATAGACTTACAAAAACCCGAGGAAGAAAGCAATAGGAGTAATGAGAAACGTATAGAGAATAGGAGTAGGAAATCTCAAAGAGAATTGGCAAAATGGAATGTTTCTATTTGAGACATTGGTATTGTAGGGTAGACAATAAGAAAAGAAATTGAAAGCATTCAGAAAAGATCTATAAAATATATTTTAAAATTAGATAGAAGTACAGCGAAATACGTTCTAGAAAATGAAGAAAAAAGAAACAGAAAAATTGACCATAAAATATTCAACAAGAGCCTGAAAGTACGAAAAAAAAATGTTAAATGCAGAAAATAATATGATACTTATAAAAGTTATAAAGATAATATATCGAATATTGAAACCCTAGAAAAGAAAATCACAAGGGAAAGATGCAAAAAGGAAAGAAAAAATTTTTTAATGGAAACTGGGCGGTCTAGCACTACAGATTGAAATTGAAAAAGATGGAAAGAGACATTGAGAAGCAAAAAGAGAAGATACAAATTAGAAACAAAATTCGCGCAGAAATACAAGAAAATATGTAGGTTATGTAAATTGGAACCGAACACGTTCGAACAAATTTTTGAGAGATGAGGAATGTGACAGGATGATGAGGATAATATTATGAAGGAGGAAATTACAAAAAAAAGACTTAGGTGTAGGCATAGAGTAAATGTAAATGCACTTGGCATAAATGAAACATAACGTTTTTAATAAAGCCGTCTATCTATCTATGTAACTGTTACGATTAAGAAGATATTTGTTTCATTAAACATTATGGTTTTAAGTTCTAATAAGTTCCCATCGATGTTGAGATAAGTGAAGTTATAATCAAGTTCTTGGTGGATTAATGTTCACTACTGCAGCAGGTACATGAGGTGGTTATCCTCGGTTAAACGATTATAGTTTGTTTTTTTTTAAGTATTTTTTTACTGTTTCTATTCAGTATTTCTTAAGAATACATATCTATCACATTTCAATGTTTATCTTTTAAAAAAGTATTCGTGAGAATATTCGCCGCATGGCATTTACATTTAACATAAACGCCTCCAAAAAATCCATAATTATAGTTATTGAACGAATATCGTCGAATTTCATAAAAGAAATCTTAATTAGACGATTAAAATGACCGCTACATCGTCATGTGGCCTTTTAATATAACAACAACAATGAATTCTTATTCGACATTGACTGACATGTAGAATGCCGTCTTGAGCTATTAAATTCCAACTAAATTGTTACTTAAGTATCTTTAATACACTCATATATACATATATACACATATTATATAAATAAAAAACTACACCGAAAACGTTTGGGTTAAAAAGAAAAAAACAATTCTGTTAAAAACTAATAATTATTTATTCCTCACTGATTCATAATGATAATTAAAAATCAATACATGAACCTACGGAATGGTGCACATCATCAATTAAAAAATTAATTACCGAAACGTGTAATATAATTAACCAACTGAATTATACGTATCTATACCAAACCGGTCAGACTCAGACTGGACCATAAAAATAATTCAGTTGTTAATGTAGGTACTTTCCAATTTTTCAGTAACCTATAATTAAAAAAATTCAATTACTTTAAAAATGCTTTGATACCTATCTCATTACTTAAATAAAAGCCAAGTCTCAGACAACTTTTTTCTTTTTCAGTTTCCATAATCTTCATAGTAAAGTCATCTCTTTCAGACATCAAAGCTACCAAATTAATCTTTAATAGGTTTTTTATAATATAAATAGTCAGTATTTAAATCTTTCTTACTGACTAGGTATTTTATTATCAACAGAGTACTAAATGGTCCAGACATATACATTTTCAATCCTTTCAAATTTCTAAATCAACCGTTTGCGAGCATAGAAGTCACCTCTTCCTGTTGAAGGCGACTCGACCCTGCGCTACCCTAACTTTGGGTGTTTCATTCCCCCCCAGCCCCTAATGCTGGTGGGCGGGCAGTCCCTCCGGACTACGCCGGAAGGCCCTCTCCAGCCTGCTTTCAGGAATCGTGGGAATAGGTGGGTGGTGGTTCGGGTGAGAAAGATAAGACGGACGAAATGAAGACAGAAGAGAATGAAAGATTATCTGGGGAATATTACTGCCTCAGCATTTTCCAAGGAAACCACAGAAAAACTTGGACCAAAGCAGACGGACCCGGAATCGAACCTGCGTCCTCCCGAATGCTAAGCAATGGTCTAGACCTCTAGGCCATGCCGCTCTGCGCTACCCTCTGCTTTACATCCCTACCACTCCATCAGTCCTGACTTATATAACTTCCTAGATACCGAAAATCAACAACTTCTTCTGATTTTTCGTCTCCTATTGTTTTATAAATTCTCTTCCCTACATTTTCTTCATTTATATACCAGTATTTTCGCCTTACTTTTGTTTATTTTCATACAATACTGTTTTATCAATACCGCAAATTGCAACAGTACATGGAATTGATTTAAAAACAGTTATTTTGTATTTTTTTGATTCAAAGATCTCTTCATCATCATGAGATCTTCAGTCCAAAGGCTGGTTGGAGACGAACCCCCACTTGTTTCTTTCATGAGTCAATCTTCGCATTCCTTCAAAACTTTTGTAACCATTTGCGAACAGTAATCTAATCTAAGCCTATCTCTGCCGCTTTTTATTCCTGTTTCTGCTCCAAATAGGTATGTCTCTAACTAGCCCGTCTGGGAAGGTGTCCTATCAGTCTATCCTATTTCTAAGTAACGTCCTCTATTGTCCTACTATTATTAATACCACCCCATTTTTAATCTTTCTACTCACAAAGCTATTGATATCCAAATGATAATCTATTATTATAAACAAAGCTACTATTCGTTTCAAGAATTTAGAGATATGCCTCTTCCCTTTATGAGGATGCGCCGTAGCATGATTCCAAATTCAATCATATTTGTCTCATTTCTTCACCGATCATCGAGCGAGAACTAGACAAAAGTCTACAGTACCATTTGCAAAATTATTTAAACTGCCTCGTTAAAATTTAAGAATATGCTTTATTTAAAAGCATATTTAGCCAAAAATAATAACAAGTGAATTAACTTAACGTTCTACACACCTATAAAACTTTTGCTTTGTTTTCTATTGTTAATTTATATACATTTTTGTTTTAAGAAATTGCTAAACATTTTCGTCTAGTACTGTACAGTTCTAGCCGATCTCCTAAGACCGCCCATCGAGAGCTCTGCTCGTTCAAGCTTGTTCCAACTATTTCTGTCTTGCTCACGCCTAGTGTGTATTCTTTCTATCTTCGCGCAGATTTCTTCAAGGTCACAATTCTAACAAATTGAAATAGACTTTACTTATCTACAAGATTGAGAATAAAGGAAAATTTGGTAAAAATTAATAAATACAAATAAAGACAAATAATTTGATGAAAAGAAGTCACTGCTATGCTCGCTAACAGTTAATTTAGAAATTCAAAGAGGTTATCAAAGGTGTATATTTGGAGCACGGTGGTGTACGAGTGCGAAACATAAACGGTGGGCGCGACGGAAAAGAAAAGGTTAGAAGCGTTCGAAATATGGTGTTACAGACGAATGATGAGGATATCGTGAATAGAGAATGTTAGAAATGAAGAGATATTAGAAAGAATAGGAGAACAGAGGAATCTATGGAAGTCAATAAGAAATAGATGAGATAGGTTAGTAGAACACCTTCTCAAGCATGAAGGTCTCGTGGGAGACATATTAAAGGCAGAAACGGAAGTTAGGAGGGGTAGAGGTAAACCTAGATTAGATTAATGTTCACAAATAGTTAAGGATGTGGGTTGTTCTAATTCTAGTTTTAGGAAAATGCGAAGATTAGCTCAGGATAGGAAAAAGTGGAGGTGCGTGTCCAACCAGTCTTAGGATTGACGACCTTTTGATGATGATGATGATGATGATGATGAATTTGATATCACTGAATTATTGAAAAACCGAATATTCAATTAAAAATTCAAATAATTCCTACAGCATCCTAGTTTCACCCTCGACATGTAAATCAATTACCACTTGACTAATTTTTTCTTCAAGTTTAGTTTACTTACTTTACTTTATGAAACTGGTCTTGAGCTCCTACAACTAACTGTGAATAGAGTTTATTAATTACCCAGAATACTTAATGTAATTTAATTAAGGCATACCCGCGGATAATAAGTCTAATGCTTATCTTATGCCGGTCTACAATTACTTACGAAAATGTATTAACGCTCTCAGATTTAGTAAGTGATAAATTGTTCGCCCATTTATGTCGACTTTTTCACAAAAATTTCAAACCTGCTAATTACGCTCAGCAAACCATATCGTCTAATCAGAACTTTACGCCAATAATAAAAATCGTATCTAGGCTAAGCGTATGTAGACAGTTAAAATGAATACAATGGGAAAGAGGCATTGAAACGTTCTAGTAAACAATATTGTTACGATGACTGTTTATTAACCTTTATATAAGTATGTTCGTTTGCGATTTATTGTTATTAAACATAATTGTCAGTTGAAATTCATTAGTGTCTAGGAGAAATCAAAGAAATTTTACAATTAGTACAACAAGGTGAAATCTGTCTGAAAGTAAATT